GCGGCTCCTTTTCAACATGTAGTTCTCGCTTCAGCGCCGCGTACATTCGTTTTCAAAATTTACAAGGGTGTCACGGAATCCCATGATCAGTGTACCAGAATCGTTGTTTTCGAAGGATTTTGGATTATGCGGGTGCAGCAGTTACGATGATGCGCTGTGTTGAAGTTCCAAGAGTGGCGCTTTGGCACGGTTCAGGACCGTCCAGACGCAACAGTCGGGTTGATCTGTGGCGTTGGAATCCCGAGAACAATGTTTGGCATGCTTCAGGTCTTCAAACTTTTTCTCTTCCAACGAGGCAGTTCCCTCAGTGGAAATGAACCGTTGTAGGGGCCTATGAAGAGTGAGCTTGGAGGGAGGGATTTTTCCAACGCCGTTGATGACTCTAGGGTTTACACTGGTCCTCCTCATCCTCATCCTCCTCATCTGTCCTCCTCCTCCTCCTCCTCCTCATCTGTCCTCCTCCTCCTGCTCCTCCTCGCCATCACCATCAGCAGCATCAGCATCAGCATCAGCATCGTCATCGTCGTCGCCATCATGCTCTTACTCAAGATGAATATTACTCTCCCCTCTCATCTGAAGTCGTCTGGGAAATCTTCCGCCCCCGTTGTGTGTTCAAACAGGATTGGGCTAGCTTGGTTGTCCTAGGCGTGTTTGCACTCCGATTGTTCTCGGTATTTCAACGTATCTGCTCTCGCTGCAGCGCGGGCCTCATTTTCGGATCGGCGCTGTGCTCCCGTCGCTCAGAGTGGCGCTCTCGCCGCAGCGTTGGCCACACCTCCGGATCCCACAGGTCTCGCAGGCCTCGCAGGGCTCGCAGGCCCCACAGGTCCCACAGGACCCACCAGTGCGGCAGGTCGACCCGAAGGGAGCACAGCAGGTCCTGACGGGTCAACGCTCCCACCAGTGTGGCAGGCCTCGCAGGTCCCACAGGAGCGCCCTCCCCCCCTCTCCGCTCTCTCCGCGGCCGCCCTGCCCTCCCGGGCGAGTGTCGCATGTCTCACAGGTCCCGCAGAGACCCCACAGAGGTCCCCGAGGTCCCATGTGTCCCACAGCTTCCACAGGTCTCGCAGGTCTCACAGTTCCTACAGTTCCCACGGGTCCCACAGGTCCCTCAGGTGTCGCAGGTCTCACAGGTCTCATAGGCCACAGAACCCCCCCCAGTCGCACAGGCCCCATACGTCCCGAGCGTCCCACAGGTTCACACATCTAGAGTTCCCACCTGCGGGACAGGTCCTACATGCCCAATACGTCCCACAGGCCACACAAGTCCCACAGGTTCCACAGCAGATGTCAGTTCCGAACTGCCCCGCAGGTCCCACAGCTCACCCTTGCTGCTAGTTGGGCGCTTTGCTGGGGTAGTTGATTTCCAGGTCGGCTATGACGCGCGCCAGCGGATAGAAAACAAAACAGCGCAATGGGAAGGGATGGGAAGAAGGGATCAGATGTCAGATGTGGCGCGAGCGTGCCTATCTTGCCTTTCCCCTCTCTCCTCTCCTCTCGTCCGCCTCCTCCTCCTCCTCCTCCTCCTCCTCCTCCTCCTCCTCCTCCTCCTACTCTTCCTCCTCCTCCTGCTCCTCCTCCTCCTCCTTATCATTCCTCATTACATGGACCATGGGAAATCGACATATTGTATGCGCGCCTGCTGTCAAAATGGAAGCTCATCTTTCCTTCCCCACCTCAGCGTCGTCCTCCTTCTCTTTCCTCCTTCGTCGCTTTTGTCGTCATAGTTCTCTCTCCTCCTCTTCCTTCAGCGTTATGTTCCTCCTCCTCCTCCTCCTGCTCCTCCTCCTCCTCCTCCTCCTCCTCCTCCTCCTCCCTGCGGGGGGGGGGACGGGGTCGTTCGCAAGCTCTTTGGGTCTCTCACTCCTTGGGTCTCTTACTTCTCAGCTCCCTCCTACCGCTCATGCGGCTGAGCTCCAGGCATTCTGTCTTGGGGCTGAATACTCAGACGGGTCGCCTGCGTACATAGGCGACAACGCGGCAGCGCTGGCTGCCAGAGTGCGCGGGTGCATGTGCACCTCTAGTCCAGCGTGGGTTGACGCTGGGCTCTGGCGCCGAGTAAGGCGCGGGGACCTCGCGTATAGCGCGGGTCTCAAGATCAAGTCCCACCAGGACGTCCCGGCCACCCCTCAGAGCGAGGGTGAGTGGAAAGTCGACCTCAACACGTGGGCCGACGATGCGGCCAACTTGGCGCTCAACCTGTGGCCCAGGCACGCCCTGGACGATGTGCGCCTGGAAAGCGCGTGCGCCGAGGCGCGCCGTGGCTTGTTGAACCTGGGGCGGGTGCTGGCAAGTGGGCCAGCTCCCAAGGTGTAGTGGGCCCACCAGCCCCCACGTGCGTCTCCCCCGTCGGCGGTCAGACCGTGCCCTCCAGCACGAACTGCACGAGGTGGCTGATGGCCGCTGGTGGTGCGTTCAGTGCTTGCATGGTTTTCGGAGCTGGAAGGCTGGGATGGCCTCCGAGTGTGGGCGCGAGGCGCCCCCGAGCTAGCGACGGCAGCACGCAGCCTCGCATGTCCTGTGGGGCGCGATCATCGCGCCCAGTGGCACGCTTGCTGAGCAAGGCGACTTTCTGTTGTACTGTTGTGCTGTGTTCAGTGTGCGCAGTATGCGCAGTTGCTGCCGAGCGGGCTGGCAGAACCTTGTCCAGCCCGCCAGCCTGGTTTCGTGATGGCGAAGATGGCCAAGGAGCGGCGAAGCCGCTTCGAGCGAGGCAAGCACCTGCGCACAGGACACGCGGAGGTGGTTCTGGAGAGCTGGGCTCTCGCTGGTCTGGATTTCCTCACTCGGGGGAGTGAGGCCCGTGCATATGCACTCTCTGCAGCTGGCACGCTCGGCGTCCACAGAGGGAGCACAACACAAATTCCTCCTCCTCCTCCTCCCTCGCCGTCTCTGTCGTCTAAGTCCCTTCTCGTCCTTCTCCTCCTCCTCCTCCTCCTCCTCCTCCTCCTCCTCCTCCTCTCCTCCTCCCAGGTGGATGCCCCGCCCTCGCGGGAGCCGTGGGGACGGGGCCAACAACAGCAAGACGGTCACCCGCGAATGCGCCCTTGTCCACCCCTGGAGCAGAGGAGAGGGAGAGGAAGGCGCGCAGTCGACTTAGGGCTTCCGAATGCTCCGGGAAGACAAATTGCTTGACCATAAAGTGTCGGAGCCCCGCGCGGATTTCTCGGATCGGCGCCGGGCCCCTCTGCTCCGCGCGCCAGGATGGCGGCAGCGCCGATCCAGGAAATCCGTGTGGACCTCCGAAAGTGCTTGTTGATGCAGTTTTTTCTTCGAGAGAGGATGGGACGACTGGCAGTGGACGTAGGGGTCCCAAGTCGGCATGGTGACAGACCGACCGTGCGGAGATTTCCAGGTCCACAAAAACAAACTTCACCACGCGGTTCGTGCTGCACGGTTTTGGGGACCTTGGTGGCCCCAGTCGCCCGAGCCGTCCCCGGAGAACGACCAAAGTCCCGAATCCGTGCGCTGATTCGGAGTCCCCGCTGACTTGCCCGACGGGGAACGCGCGGCTTCGCCATCGGTGGCGCATCGCCGATCCATCGGCGATGCCAAGGCCGATGTCCCCCCCCCCTTGGGACTGTTCTCCCCCCCGCGGCTCTCCTCTGGACGCTGGGGGCTGGTTGTGAGTTGGTGGCCGCGGGGCACGTTTATGAGGTTCAATGCCGCCCTGGGTCCTGGCCGCTAGAGGTCCCCCCAAGGGGTTTCCCGAGGCCCAGCGGAGGCCCGCGCGTGACCCAGAAGGCACCGCGAGCACCTGGCAACTCCAAAGGACGCCCCCTTCCCGGTCCCTCGAATCACCGAGCACGCTCCATTACTCGCAAAGTGCCGACTCGCAAGCGCCATCAAAAACCAGCGTGATTCGATGCAGTGGAGCCCCTTTGCCTCGACGCCATGGGTCCAGGCCATTGGCGAGCAGCCACTCTGCGAATGGTAGAACGCGCCTGGTCAGCGAAGGCTCTGGGCAAAGCTCGGCAGGGCCGCCTGCGGGTGCACACGCAGGCGGCGGCCGAACTGTCGGCCGATCCCCACGACCTGCACTTGGAACGCCGTGGTCGGCGCCCTGGTGCCCAGCCCTCGTGCTTCCCCCCCCCGAGCGCCAGCGACGTCGAGCGCTTCTGGGCTCTCCGACGTGGTGTTTCTGTTGGCCTCCAGCGTGCATCCTCAGAGGCCTGGGCTCGGGGGCAACCTCAGGGGGACCGGCTCAGGGAGGAACGCACCGAGCCCGCATCACCCATTGATCGTCGATAGGGGCCTGATCGCGCACCCCGCCCAGAAACATGGGAATTCGCTGTATCGGGGGTCCATCGCCAGAAGGCATCGCCGATTCTGAGTTGACGTTCTGTCGCCCTGACCCACTCTCCCCCCGGTCGTTGCCCCTCATGGACCACTTCCTTGGGGCCCGTCCTGCATCCAGAGCAGCTTGTAGACGCGGCCCCCAGAGCCCCGTGAGCGCCCCTGGGAGTCCACAGCGGCCGAACAGTGCTCATCGTGAGTTTGTCACGTCGCTCTTTTCCGCTCTCGGGTCGCTGTCGCCTTGGTCTGCGACGGCCACTCGGCAATAATTCAGGCACCCCTCGGAACGCTCGCGGCGAGGCTCAGCTGCTGGAAGGCATGGGCATCGCCGAGAACAGACGAAAACGTCAGAAAATACATCCCCCCAAAAGCATCCCCCCCTCGACATGTTTGTCGCGACGTGGAAATCCTCCTCCTCCTCCTCCTCCTCCTCCTCCTCCTCCTCCTCCTCCCCCTCTTTTTCCTCCCCTCTTCCTCCGCCTCCTCTTCCTCCTCCTCCGCTTCCTCCTCCTCCTGCTCCTCCTCCTCCTCCTCCTCCTCCCTCCTCCTCCTCCTCCTCCTCCTCCCCCTTCTCCTCCTCCTCCCCCTCCTCCTCCTCCTCCTCCTCCTCCTCCTCCTCCTCCTCCTCCTCCTCCTCCGCCTCCTCTGGGCCTCACGCGGGGCGCGTCGCCCTGGGGGCGGGCGCCTGGCCCCCTCCTTTCCAGGAGCCGACGGGCACCAGCGCCGCGGACCAGGGCTCGACCGAGCCGCTCCAGCCCAGCGCCGCGGGGCGCACGCGGACGACGGCAGCACTGGAGCGCGAGGCCTACCAGGATCGGGCTGGAAGTCCCCCTGCTCACCCTCCCTTTCCTCCTCCTCCTCCTCCTCCTCCTCCTCCTGCTCCTCCTCCTCCCCCTCTTCCTCCTCCTCCTCCTCCTCCTCCTCCTCCTCCTCCTCCTCCTCCTCCTCCTCCCCCTCCTCCTCCTCGGTCGGTCGGTCGGTCGGAACCTAAGGGCTGTAAATATGAAGCCCATGCTGAAAAGGTGGCGAGGAAAAGGGTGGGGCAGTCCAGCACGAGGGAATTAAGAGGAGCACGCACCGTCCGCCTCTCCCAGATGGGAGCTGGAACATCGACACGCATCCCTAGCGACAACAAGGCAAGGAGAGGACACCGTCGTAGTAGCGTGGGAAAGCCACGCCGTGTCGGTGCCACACAAGCCTGACGGAACGACGGCGGACAAGGAAGAGACCAACGCAAACCACAAGGAATGTGGGATGAGGGGATGGGTGCACAAGCTTCCCCCCCCTACTAGACTGCTGACGTTCGGGACGCCAGTAATGTCGCTTTCCAGAGTAGGCCAATGAGTAGCAAGCAACCTGAGCCTGCATCCTCCCTCCGCAGGGGGGGGGGGCCGAGGAAGGTAGAGACACGCTGCTGGTGCGTAAGAAGCATCAGAGGGTCAAGACTCCAACCCGACACGTGGCCATTGAAAGAGGGGGGAGGGTGCAACCAAACCGCGGCAATCCCCCGAGCCCAGGCCTCATGCATGAGAGCGCACATCCCCAGGTAAAAAGCGTTGTCCTGTTGCACAAACTCCCAACGCTGCTCACTGAGAGTGTCAAGCCCCCAAGGCTGGACGGGGGATCGCAACATGGCCTTGGACCCTCTAAGGCGGTGTGGCCACATGGTCTGCAGGGAGGGGGCACAAATGATGGCAGCGATCCTGCCTTGACGCATGGCTCTGCACCAGAAATCGGCTTCGGACGTCCACGCGGGCCCCCTCCATTCAACCCTGATCAAGGGCATGTCACTACCCCGCCCACCCTGCTCCCACGCTCTCGCCAGGCCGCACAGGCAATCATCACCTTTAGCGATAACAAGAACAACCTTGTGAACGCAAGCGGGGACGGGGGGGACAACGAGAGGGGGAGGGGCCCAAACAGGGGCAGGGGCGGGAGCCGCGGGGGTAAGAACGGCCCGCGGGGGCGGGGGACCAAGCCATTTGAGGGCGACGGGGGGGCCATGGATGCGAACGGGGGCCCTGCGAGCAAAGTTATCGGGCATTCCTTTAGCACGATGCTGTTGCTGGGACAACTTGGCTTCAGCCCTGGCTTCACAGAGCTCCTGGGGGGTAGGGCGGGCCGGCCGGGCTAAGATGCTCAAAAAGCAGGCCTTAGCAGAGGAGAAGTGTTTCGCCAGCCTAGCGGGGCCCTCGAAGTCCCTCATGCAAACATTGCAAACAGAGCCCACAGCAAGGTCGTAGGGAGTCTGACCGTTTTTGTGCCTCTTAGACATGTGCACCCTCATGGTGCGAGCACACTCGGCAGCAAAGCCACACTCGTTACAGACAAAGGCAGGCACCCTGGGAGGGGGAGGAGGTGATTCCAGGGGGGTGCCCCCACAACAGTCACGAATATGCCTGGAGGCCAGAAGCACAAGGTGAGCGGTGCTAGATCGTCGCTTGGCTCGCAATGTAGCCAGGCGAAGAAGCTGGATGTACCTGCGCGGTTGCTCGCGCGCGAGACGCACCCAGGTCGGGAGTGGGTCGACCTGATGGCACGGGCGCTCAGCGGGGGTGAGGAGAGAACAAGCCCACTTCACGCTGTCCCTAAGCACGAGCGGCCAACCGAAATCAACATCCAACTCGAAGTCCAAAAGCACCCGAAGCAAAGGGGGGGAGTACTTGACCAGCCTCGGAAGATATCTGAGCCTGCAGATGTGCCCAACTTCCGAGATGGAAATCCTGTCAGAGCGGGCCAAGATATCGGCATAGCCATGCTTCTGCTCCTCGCAGTTATTTCTAAAGGGAAGTCCCTGAGCGCTGCGATATATGGCCTCATGCGCCAGCCGAACTTTGTTCTCGAGGGCAACGGTGAGCCTAGGCCAGGTAGCCACAGCATAAAGAAGACGAGAAGCCCCCAGGGCTTCGGCGTACACGGTTTTGCGACCCAGGGAAAGCGCGGCCCTGGGGGCAACGGCCTTACGAATGGGCCTGAGGGCCCCAAAAGTGGAAGTGCAGCGCAGGTGCACCTCGGGCCCCATCCCTCCATTGTCCTGAATCATAGCCCCGAGGCAGCGATGGGTGCGCACAACTTCAATCTCGATCTGGAACCGTCCCGACTTGAGAGTAGGGGTGGACATGCCAAAGTGCTCACCTCGAAGCTTCACCGACCCTTGACCCCTGAAGCAAAGCATAGCTTTAGTCTTGCAAGCATTGGGGACCAGACCCCTCTCAAAGCAAGCACGAAAGACTTCCTCAGCCATGGTGAGGACAGAGGGAACGAGACGACCAGCTTTCTCCACGGCCAGAGCAGAGGTGAGATCATCAACATAAGAGACAGAACAGTGGGGATAGTGGTGGTCGCCTGACAACGCAAACAGCAACGGGGCAGGGGGCGGGGTCCAAGCAAGCTGTTCGTTGGCCAAAGACCTTTCCACATCCTTCTGAATGCCAGAGAAGACCACGTTAAAGATATCCGAAGCGAGCACGGTCCCAGGGCGGGTGCCAGAGCCTGGCAAGGCAACCGAAGCAGAGTCGGGCACTTTCCAAAACGATCCCCTCTGCGAATCTTTGAGAAGGGCGAGGACCGCAGGGACGTCCACCACACGATCCAAAGCTCCAGGCTCCTGAAGGGTGGCTTTGAGGCCCGTCAACAAAAGGGGGGGGATGGGGAGGTCGTCCAGGGTGTCCCGAAGCAATTGTTCCTCCCCAGGGAGCTGCAACGCAATCTGTTTCAAGGTGGTGTAGAAGGCCGAGTGCAGGTCCAGGAAGAGGAAACCCGTGCTTCGCTTGCACTTATCAGCCACCGCCGAGAACTCACGCAAAAAGTGAATGGCATTCTCACAAGACCTGCCAGGGAGCCCCCCACACTGAATCACAAGCATGCAGCGCTCAAAATACCCCCACGCAAGCTCCCTGATGTGCCGATGGTAAAGCTTGCCAATGACGTTGGCTTTGAGGATGCTACGCTGATTCTCTTTGGCCGCAACCAAGCCCTTACCCTTCCAAAAATACGCAACAAACCCAGCCTTGAAAGAGAGCGGTTCCTTGTCAGCAATAGTGCTCTTGACAAGGAGGGGCAAAAGAAGCTGGGCAACCTCAGCGGGAGCCACCCTTCCAAGATCAGCCCTCACTCCATCAGGTCCAGGGGCCCTATGTGGCTGAGCCTTCCTGGTCGCACGCTCGAGTTGATACCGCGAAATCAGAACATCCCCAGGGGTGACGAGCGGGTCAGGAGGCATCAGGCCTTCGACGACATGGGAGGGCCCTCTAGTGGCCTTAGTGAGAGGGGGGAGAGCATTGTAATGATCAACAATGGCATGAATGTCGAGAAGCTTGGCATGCTCAACTTTGGCAAAATGCTGGTGCATACAATCAGCCACAGCCTCCTTGGACACAAGAGCCTCCCCATCGTTCCCCATCATGATGGGTTCCGTGCGGGGGCGCTTCGCAGACCTACCCCCAAAGCGAAGCAAGGTGTCAAGATGCTGCCACTCGTGTAGTGGCTGTCTCCCGTCAATGGACACCTTGACGGACACCGCCTGTTGATCAAGGAAAGAGGTCTTATCTTGCTCAAGAAGGGCCCCCACCACCACCTGAGACTTAGTGAGGAAATCCACCAGCCCGCTAAGAAGCGTGAACACAGGCGTGTGGGGCAGGAAGGCTTCACACAAGCGAGTGCGCAGCGCGCACCAAAGCGCCCACCACCGAATAGGGGGATGGTTGACGACCTCACAGTGGAGGTCGCCTCTGATGCATCTGCCAGCCAGTCTAGTGATCAAAGCCCGTTCACTGGGGCCCTCCTGGCCTTGGCATTTACGCAGAACTCTCTTGACCCCTCTGCGACACCTGACCAAGAGCAGCACTTGCGCACTGATGTACGACTTACGAGCCCTGATGGCGTCAACCTTGAACGCCTGACCAGCAGCTCGGGTAATGGCCTTGGTGGCCCGAGTCGCGTGGGCATTAAGGGGGACGCTCCAATTGATGGCCGGGCAGGCCCGAAGCTCGTCCTTAAACAGGGCAACGGCCTCAGGGTCACGAAACTTATTCCTATCGAGGGGAGGGGCATCAGCACGCCTCGGCTTGGGGGTCCCCTGCCAACAAAGAGAAGCAAAGAGAGGCAGGTGGTCAGTCGTGGTAGCGAGGTCGTCGTGGGAGTGGTCGACTGAGACGTCAGAGGCCAGAGCAAGCATGTGATCAGACAAGATGATATAGTCATTACGATGTCTGCTACCGTCTCTAGCCACGTAAGTAAAATCCTCCTCCCCCCCACGGAGGGTATTGAGCAGGTATCTGTCCGTTTCCGCACAAAAGCGGTGCAGGCACTCCCCAGGGTAGTCCTCATCTTGGGCGAAGCCCGCCGAACCCACCCACTGACTGACCACCGACCCAAGGTGGGCGTTGCCATCCACAAAGGCGATGGAAGGCGACCATTTATCGAACTTGGCCCGAAGGTCGTCCCAGAATTGCTGGACGACAGCTTTGCCCGCTTTGATGTGAGGGGCGTGGGCAACGAGGCAAGTGTACAGCTCGCTGCCAATCCTAATCGAAACCACAAGGTGCCTCGGGTCACCGAACAAGATCCGAAGGTCGTCGGGGCAGAAGGTAACGGGTTTGTCCCCCCTGACGGCATAGGGCTTGACCACATTGAGCCAGAGTTCCACTCCAAACCCCTCATCAGAAAACCCAGAGGCAACCGCGAAGAAATCCCCAACCCTACGCACTCCCTTAGCATTCCAGGACTCCTGCAACCCTACCATGTGCACTCCAGCTTCACCCATCTGCTGCGAGGTGAGAAGGTTGCGAGCAAGTCGACGACGACCCGCCTGTCCATA